CACCATTAGATCCAGTCACACTTACTTTTAGTTGTTTGTTTGCTTGTTTTAATATAGTGGGGCCTTTCTTCTCTTAAAGTCAAACTGCAAGCAAGTCACTTTTGAGAACCACCCAATCCTGCTGTTAAAATATACAATCTATATGATAATCCCTCCAGATAGTCTTCCTCCAGCCCAAACCTCTGTGAAACTCCAGGTCCATATATACAGTAGCCAAAAACATCTTTTAAAAAAAAAAAAAACTGGTGCTAGAGACTGAACCTACACAAGTATACACTCTACCACTGAGCTGCAACCCGAGTCCCCGAAACCTCTACTTGGTTGTTTAAAGGATGTTTTAGACTGCTTAGATAAAAAAATACACTACGTGGTGCCAGTGAGGTGGCCCAGTGGGTAAGCGAGCTTGCCACCAAGCCTGTCAAGAGTTCAATGCCCAGAGCCCACCCTGCAGAGAGAACTGGGGCCCACGTGCCCACGCAGGCACGCAACCAATCAACCAAGGCAAACACACTGTCTTTTTCCCACAGACCAGCCCTTCCTCCACACTTTTTCATCTGTCACCAACGCAAACCACTGTGCTTCCCCAGTCAGATACTTGGGCATGAGCCTTAATGAAATCCCACCCTTTCTCATCTGTACCTAGATAACCAAATCTTGCCAGCTCATTAAAACCTACTTTGGTTCTTTCTTCAGACTGATTCTTCAGTGAGTAATTATGCCCAAAAGGAAGGCAAAGCTGATGTCTTCTCCCTACCTGGCATACCTCAGCCCCCTCGAAACATTCCACAGGAGCCCAGCACCACTGCTTAGACACTAGCACTGCAAGTCTACACAGTAAGAAAACAAGGTTCATGAGCAGCATAAAAGAGAAAAACTAAGACACTCAAAAAGAATTTCAATGTGTATTCAATTTCTATTCATTAGTGCTATATTTAACTGCCCAGATGAACCTGATTTAGAGATGCACTAGGCCCAAGCTGAGATGATTTCCACTGTCTATCAACTTCCTTAAACCCCTAGCTAATGCTCTAAAAATAAATAAATAATAAATGTCTCCAAGATCTCTTGGCACATTGTTGGGTGGGGGGCTGACCTCAAGCTCACAATGCTTCTACAGAGTGCTGCGATTTGATTTCAAGCACAGGCCCTCCCTCCCTTCCTATGTGTTTCAATGTAAAGCCTGACTGTCCTGGAACTCACTCTGTAGACCAGGCTGGCCTCTGAACTCAGAAATCTTCCTGCCTCCACCTCCCCAGTGCTGGGATTAAAGGCGTGCACCACCACCACTGTCCAGCCCCCAACTTTACCTTTTTTTTTTTAAGAACAGGGAGTCTGGTGACATACACCTTTAATTCCAGCACTTAGGAGGCAGAGGCAGACAGATCTCTGTGAGTTCAAGGCCACTCTGAGCTACAAAGAGAAACCCTTTCTTGAAAAACAAAACAACAAAATACTAGTTGAAAATATTAACACACATTAAAATAATTGTTTAATTAAAAAATTCAAAGACATTTTTATGTTTACTCGTTTTGGGTGTTTTTTGTTGGTTTGTTTTTCAGACTATCGTGTAGTCCAGGCTGGTCCTGAATTTAGGATCCCCCTAACTCCATCTCGAAAATGCCAGGCTTTTAAGTGCGCACCACCACACCTGGCTTATAATTCACTCTTCTGAAAAGCTAAGGACAAGCTGGGTATGATGGCCGGCAGCTGGGTTCCCAGCAGCTGGAAGGAAGACTATTTATCCCAGGAATCTGGGTCCAGCCTGAGCAACACAAGACCTTATCCCTTAACAAGAACATGAACTAAACTGGAAAAGAGGGAATTATAGCAGAAACTGAAGTGGAACGGGGCAAATAAACTCCAGGTAAAATATGTTATTCTGTCATGACATGGAACCCATGCCTGGCACTGTTAACAGGACCAAGAAACTGTGAGTCCTAGGGGAGAACTTGAGAACTTAGTACCAATAGACATAGTACTAAAGTGACTCCTAATGACTCATTGCTCTACCCATAGATCAGACCATCTCTCACTCCTCATCAGAGAAGTTCCTTGCAATAGATGGCAATTATCACACCCCTCCAGGAAAGGTTCAAGGACCTTCCTGTAAAAGTCAAGGAACAGGAAGACTGAGATGTTGAACAACTGCAAGGAAACTGTTTTCTGGACACAACACGGCCGTTGCACACAGGAACAGCAGCTACGACAGCATGGGCAAGACCTGCACAAACTCAAACCAGACAAAATCCCAGCATGGGGGTGAGGGGTGGGCATGAAATCCCACCAGTAGCTGAGGAGCTATTGACATCTGATGGTTGCTAAGAGAGGGAATCAGTTTTATTTAATGATGTGATCCCTGGTAGACTATCATACTTCAGGGCAGGCCCAAGGGTAGCTGAGCAGCACAAACTGGATGATGAGTTTATTTTTTAAAAAATGTTTAGGTTGGGCAGTGGTGGCACACATCTTTAATCCTTGCACCTGGGAAGCATAGGCAGCAGATCTGAGTTCAAGGCCAGCCAGGGCTACATAGATAAACCCTGTTTTGAAAAACAACAAAAACATTGTTTTAAAAAGAAAAACTCTAAGTTGGGTGGCTAGGGAGATCAGGGTGAAGGGTAGATCTGAGCCTGGGGGACTAATACAATCACAATACACTATATGAAATTCATGAACGAACAGAAAACATTTTAATTCAAAAATTATTTCTGGAAAACTCAAGAAATACATTCCTGGGGGGGGCATATGAAACCCAGGGCTAAAGTGATGGCTCAGAAAGCAAGACTCTTGCTGTTCTTGCAGAGGACCAAAGTTTGCTTCCCAAGACAGACTTTGCGTGGCTCACAAGCATCTGAAACTCCAGCTCCAGGGAACCCAACACCCTCTTCTGACCTTGTGATATACACATTCACAAGCACATACAAACCCACACAAAGACATACATGCATACAGCTAATTAAAAATAAAAACAAATCTTAAAAAAATATGAAGCTCTAAAATTCACAATAGAAATTTTACACAAACTAATAAATATTAAATAAATTGAAAAGTCTTCTCCAAAAAAAAAAAGATCTAGGCCTAAATGGTCATATATATATGTATATATCTCAGCCATTCAAGGGCAATAATCCCAGTTCATACTGCTCCTGAAAAGACAGCAAGAAGGAAAGCTACCCAATTATTCTACAGCTACTAGAATCCCAAGACCAGCACAAACTAAGACTTGTATCGGAGTTGGCAGGAATACAAGTAAGGGTCACAGTATCAGGATCTACAGATGCTGGCTACAGACTAGACTCGGGAAGGACTGGGGAGAGAACTGGGCTTGATCTATTAACAGGGATAGGTAGCACTATAAGGCAACCACTAAGGAAGCATCCATCTGAACTAGACTACCAGGTACAGTTTTTTACATAAAGCAACCAGAAGGCCTCAAACGTTCAGAAGGCAGATCAGGATTTGAGAAACAGTCAGACAGAAAAAACCTGAACAATAACTCAAGGGAGGGCCAACCAGACGGCTCAGCAGGTAAAGAAAGGTGCCTGCCACCAACCAAGCCGATGGCCTGAGCTCCCGGCACACATGGTGGAAGCAAAGACTGGCGTCTGCAAGCTGCACCCTGGCCTCCACAAGCCTGTCATGGCAGCACACACGCAGAAGTAAGAGAAATAACACAATTTATTTAAAATAGTCTTAAAACCGATGTGAACAGTGAAACCCAGAAAACACTGAGCATAACTAAGAGAAAGGAGGGAGAACAGAGGTAGACAGAGGGCAAAACAAGAATAAAGTCACCATGTCGCCTAATTCTTTCTTCCTTCACAACTGTGTCAGGGTGCAAAATAACATTTTAGGGAGGTCTTCCTAGATGGTCCTAGCAACACCAGCACCAGGTCAGGTCTCCACTTCAAGCTTTTATAACCCCCTACACTTTAATTATCATCACAATTACACTTAATTATACAGAACTCATCCTTCCACAAGTTCCCCCACTAGACTTTAAGCTCCACAAGTATAGGACAGGACAGTATGCGTGGTGCCTCCCCCCACACCCTCAGTGTGTCAGCAAACAGTGCACACTCCGCGGATGAAACAGGCAGGTGAGCGGACAGCAAGGATGCGGTCTACGGACCGGAAGCACAGCTGGGAGCGTAGCTCAGTTGCAGGGGCTTCCCTAGCAGACACGTCAGGCCTCAGAACAGTGCTTGGATCTGATTAGGCTATACAGTTCCTTCCTGAATGGGAAATCCTGTCAACACAGCGTCAAGTCAACGGATGATCACAGTGTCCAAGAAGGGAAAGTAAGTCTACTCCTGGGAGTATCTCCAGGAGGGATTATAGATGACTGTATTTTAATTTTACTTCAATTTTGCTCTATTTTGCAATTTCTCTTTAACAACCACGTATTACTTTTATAAGAAAAAAATTTTTAATGTTAATGACTTGAAAAGAAAATACAACACAGCCTGAGAGACTAGCAAAGCTATATAAAAGTTTTTGTAAATTAAAGGATCCTAAGTACATGTGTACTTTTTTAAAAACCCCAAAATACCAGCCAAGTCTACATAGCCAGTTTGAGGCCAGTCTGAGCTATGTAGTGAAACTGTTTCAAAACAAAAAACGAAACAAGACAACAGGTCAAGCTCCAATAGGTAGGAAAAGGGTGTTAACTAGTAAGGTGGCTGGGACCCTCCAGAAGGAAAATAGATCTGAGAAGGAATCCAAAGCAAAGAGCACCCGCTGTATGCGTCACTCTTAAAGGGTACGGAGAAATGAAGACAGTTAAAAAGGTTTCAAAGGGCTCCACCGAGAATTGGGGGGGGATATAAACCAACAGAGGATCTGTTATATTAAAAACCGCATTCCAAATTTAAATGCACCTTCCACAAACTCTTGAGTTCCTACTGAAGTGTTCGTATTTTTAAGTTCTGACTTTAAAGAGCTAAGATAAATTTCAACATCCTTTTAGTTCAACTGAAAGCAACGATAAACATAGTTACCTTTTGCTTTATCTCCAAGTTTAATTCCCCTCACTAGCAAACACAAGTCGTTCACAGCTGAAGCAACGCGGGGTTTCATGCATAACTGGAAAAACGCTCTTAAGTCTTTGCACAATTTGCTTTTGTACGAGGGCCATACCCTTGAATACCACTGAGTCCAATCCCGGCACACTTATCTAAGTTATTTAACCTCTGCGTCTCGGTTTCCTCCTCTAAAACAACAAAAAATACAATAACCAGGGTTATCTTAAGAAGTGGCGCGACACGAACGCTAAGCTCGTATCTCGTCCTCAGAAGAGTTTGTAAACCGCCTAAAAGAGAAAACCGGCAGCCCCTTAACCAAATGAAAAGATCAATCGACGGAGTCTTACAAGTCACAAAACGCCAGGCACTAACACACAATGTATTATTTTTCTCCCTGACCCGCTTTTCTTTCTTTTCTTTCTTTCTTTCTCTCTCTTTTTTTTTTTTTTTTTTTTTGTTTCTTCGCCAAACCTTTCCGCTAGGAGTCTGGAAGGGGAGGGGGCTGTGCACGCAATCCAGCACAAAGTTTTTCGAAATCCAAGTGCACAATCACAACAGACATGGCAGCGGAGGCCGCACAGAACAACAGGTGAACCAACTCGCCGGGACGGAGGGAGAAACCCGGCGCCTTCCCGCAGCCAAGTTGGGAAGACGGGCCGAGCGCTTAGCCCGGCCTCCATGCCCGCACCGAACACGCTCCGTTCTCCTCTCGCTCTCCCTCTTTTTTCCTAGCAAAGAGTCCCGAGACCCAGCCCCAGACTCAGCCCCAGACTGAGCGGCGCAGCTCTGGAGCGGGAGCAGAGCGCCGTTCCCATTTAAGGACTCCAGAAGCGTCCTCCGAGGGGTGGGGATGCGAACAAAAGGGCGAGCGCGGCCGGGCGGCCGGGCCGGGCCGGGCCACGGGGCCGGGGTCTCCCGCAGGCCCCGCCGAGGCTCGTCGCGGCCTCCCCCGGCGTCGCCACCGTCGCCCCAAACTTCGCCGGCCTCCCGCACTCCGCCAGCCGCCAACTCACCGGGATCCCGAGAAACTCATCCTCCAGCGCTCGGCGCAGGCGGGCACGGACAGCCGCGGGGCGGCGGGGCCCGGCTCGGCCTCCGCCCTCGGCGCGCAGCGGCCCGGGCCCTGTCGCCCCTCGCGCGGCCGTGCGGTCCTCGTCTCGCGCGGGAGCTCGGGCCTCCGTCCGTCCCTCCCTCCCTCCCTCCCTCCGCCCTTCCCTCCGCCCTCCTCCTCCGCGCGGCCGGCGAGCAGATTCCAATCTCTGCCGCCTCAGCCGTGGAGGACGCGAGCTCGCCGAGGGGGGGTGGGGGGGCGGCCCGTGGGGGAGGGGCGGCCCGGGCGAGAGGCGCCGGCGCGCGCGCACTGGGGAGGGCCCGCCAGCTCCGCGCGCCCCCGCCCTGGGGCGCCGGCCCCGCCCCGGACACGAACGGAGCCGAGAGCTCGACGGAAGTGCCCGAAGGGCCCGTGGAGCCCGGCGCCCCTCTGCCGGGAAGGAGGGCCGGCGGCCGGCACGGGGGCGCCAGGTTGCCGCGGGAACGGGGGGAGGGCCGCCCCTCGGCGCACGCCGCCGCCGCCACCCGCGTGATGGAGGGGCTGCTTGGACAAGGCTGCGGGAAGGAGACCGTGCGGGCACACCCCTTCCCGAGCCGAAGCTCCCTCGCTCGCGCGGCGTGCTAGTGAGACGCGGCGGCGGACTGGCTCCAAAGGCGCCGAGTCTCCACGGTGCGGGGTCGGCTGCCCGCTCGCAGTTGTCGCCGGGAAGAAAAATGTAGCCACGCTGCATTCATTACTCACCCCCCCTCCCCGCTCCCGGGTCCTGGTGGTGGCCCGCGGGGAGGGACGTGGGGGCGCACACGTTCTCGGGGGCACGGAGCGAAAGCTGCCTCTCGGCCCCGAGGCCGGGGCGCTGGGGCGGCTGTGATCTGCGGGCCCGCGAATTCCTCGGGCGTAAGATAAGGAGCGGCGGGAGCCGGCTGAACTGAAGTCAGCGAACTATAAATACGGCTCGGCTCGAAATCCACCTTTGGCTCAGCCGAGTGACCTCGGATACCCTCCAGAGTCCCATTCCCTCCTTTTAGAAAATGCAAATAGCAGTCACTAGCTCTTTTCCTCTCGTTCTTGGTGCAAAATGTCGTTAGAAGTATCCAGTGACCTGTTTATGAAGAAAGAAAACCCCTTTAAACCAGATGGTAAATACCTAACTTCTTCAGTAAGTCAACAAATATAGTAGTCGGTTAATTCATTTTTCTGAAAGAACTTTAAATCTCCTGGAAAATCGTTTAAAAAAGAAGAGACTGTGGCAGGCACGGATACTTGTGTCTTTATACACATTCTGGTCTGGGGAGGGGGCGGGCAACTTAGACTCCAAGTATTCCTTCAGATTCAGCTGAAAGTATTTAAATTCCCTTATATTCCAGTTTAAACTGTGTGTGTGTGTGTGTGTGTGTGTGTGTGTGTGTGTGTGTGTGTGTACGCTCGCGCGCGCGTGCTCGCTCCTTTCTCCTTTACCCACTTTTGCCTTCAGAACCCTCAGTGCCTCCGTGTTAGTCAATTAACATTTCAGTCATGTTCTCGCATTCTTTTTTTCCCCTGAACTCTTTCTTGGGCTGTCTCGGTTTTGAGTCATTGCAGCATTCTCGCTGTAATGAAGGTATATTGTGATTTCAGAGGTTTCTTGTGTCCACTAAAGATTCTCACTTTTCTTCCTTGATATTTCTATATACTGCCCCTCTTTAATTCCAAGGAAAAGAGTGGCCCTTTTGTTCCAAACTCGTTGACCAAAAATCTTATGCCTGTCCATGTACTGTAGACCCCAAGTATCTCAGGTTGGAGCTCTAGGATATCAAGCCTGAAATGCACAAATGGGTGTTGCCTGACTTTAGTTACATGCTACTGAAATGCTAGCACAATGGAAGCATCAGATTTTAGTTCATATCTTTGCTTCTCTATAAAAAAGATCCTTTTCAGATATTTGGGGATGTAGCTTGGTATTCTCATGCTCTCCTTAAATCAGCTCACCTAGTACCCAGCTTAAATCGGCAGCATGTCAGAGAGCCCACAGCCTGCCTGCAGACGCACGGTTTGCTTTTTGGCTCCTGGCATGTATAAGCATGCCAGCCTGTTTCTCCGGTTTGCCTGCCCACTAAATGAACAGAGAGCCAAGAGCCCAAGGAGACATCTGGACACGTATGGTCTGGCCCCCAAAGTCAAAGGCAACACTTCAAGGTTCAGTTTAACATTCTGTAATGCAGTAGAGTTCCTTTAAGTAGGTTAATAGAAGGGACTAGAAATAGGCCTTTTCCTCTAGGCAGTTAGTTTTATCATCGGTCCTAAGAGTGGCAGTTGTTGCCTGAGCCAATCAGGAAGCATTCCCTCCCAATAGGTCCTGGCTTTTCCACCAGTGTTGTTTTGTTTTTTGGGACCAGGTTTTCTGTATAATAAATAGCCCTGGCTGTCCTGGAACTTGCTTCGTAGACCAAGCTAGCCTTGAACTCATAGAGATCTGACTGCCTCTGCCTCCCAAGTGCTGGGATTAGTGGGGTGCACCACCACACCTGGCTTCAGAACACTTTTTCTAATCTATATTAATACCCCAGATTTTGTTTTCTTTCTATTACTTTATCTGAAATTCCCTCACTTAGTTTATGACCTGAGCCCTTCCATCCTGTGGAGTGTAAACTCCAAGAGAAAAAAGACTTGTTGGTCTGTTCTCTCCACTCTCCTCAGATCTCAGTGCCTGTCATGAGGCACTGTGTTTGTTAAATGCTCAGTGCCTGGTGTTTGTTAAATGACCGAGATAGATAAGCATGGATTTCCTCTGAGCTTCTGAGCCACGAGACACTAAGACCCTTACAGTGTCAGAAGGTAGCTTGACCAGACGTGAGAAGGTGAGGATTGGCCAGGGAAACTGTGAATTACATCATCCTTGGTGAAATAGGGACTTCTGCCTTCAGGGATCCAAGTTCAATACATTAATCCAAGTTAATCTGTCCAAAGTCATTTTCCTGTTGTAAAGATTTTACGAGGCAAAAGGCAGCAGTAAGTCATTGTGGGTATGGAGATAAGAGCTCAGTAAAGACTAGTGAAGGGATGCCCTTGGTAGGTGACACTTAAGTTTGTTACAAACCCAGTATTAAATGGATAAACGTGTTGTGTTATGGGAAATAGAGGGGACATATGCAATTTTCAGCCTGGACACTACCATTTCATTTTATTAATGACACTCCATCTTGGTTTACATACAGTATTTTATTTCTCTATTTGTTACTTCTAAATAATTTTCTTCTTTCTTTTCTCCATGTTAACTTTGCTTTGCTTCAGAGCACTTGCGTTCTGTGACAGAAAGATGTTTCCTGGGGCTGTCACTACAGAGTAGCACCACTTGGGGCCCTTGGTCGGTGTCTCTGTTGCTTCCCATCTTAGAACCCATCCTCTCCTAGACCCCGAGGCAGAAAGGCTCCACAGAACTCCTGCCTCAAACACAAGTCCTGACTTCTGTTCAGTGTGTCTCTTCTGTGTTTATGTGAAGAACCTTGGCCCTTGTCTGTGAATTGACCCACAGCCATGTATGTATGTATGTATGTATGTATGTATGTATGTATGTATGTATGCATGCATGCATATTGTTGTTGGGGATGGTACGTGTCTGGCATAGCCTGCAAGAAGAAACTTCCAAAATTGGTTCTCTCCTACCATGTAGGTTGAACTCACTGAGCCATTTATTTAGTTTTGAGACAAGGTCCTAGCTGGCCGGGAACTCTTGGGCAAAGGGTGCCCTTGAACATGTGACCTCCTGCTCCCACCGGAGTGCTGGGATTCACCAGGTTTATGCAGTACTGGGGCTCTGACCCGAGCAGCCTGCATGCCAGTCAAGCACGCTTCCTCTTAGACTACAGCCCTAGCCTCGGCCCTTCTGTTTCTAAATCCTGCACTGTCAACTTGCCTAGACTGCAAGTTTCTCTAGTGTCAGGATTCACCCCAGTCCTAGGGGACAGACTGGCCAGGCTATGAGCCTCCAGCTCTTTTCTTCCACGTTCGTTCGGCGTTCCTGGCTGCTCTAATCGGCAGTTCTTTCCCTCATTTCCTGGGGCTGGGTGTCCTGGTGCCAACTGCTCTCCTAGACTACCACCTGTTGTTTGTTCGCTCTCTGGTTATCAGGTGCTGCTTTCGGGAACTGCAGGTCCTCCAGTCCAGCCCTCACTCAGCCCAGCACAAATCCTGTGTCCTTCCCCATCCTGCTGTATAGCTCACTGCCCCGCCTTCCCCACATCGAGAGCAGTGAGCTGAAGACCTATTGCACTAGCGTTTTCAACCAGAAAGAAGTGTGTAATATATATGTGTATATACTATAAAATGTTATATAGAGGAAATAATAAAGTATATGTACTGGATATACTACAAATAATTTTTGCCTGATAAAAATACCCTGGCTTGTGGTTGGGCAATGCTGTTTTTTGTTTGTTTGTTTGTTTTTGCTTTGTTTTTTTTCAGTACTGAAGGTGGAACCTAGAGGCCTTGTTTATGCTAAGCAAGTGTTCTGCTATATAGTGCCAGGCCCTTGCCTTTGGTTTCTAACACACTGCTTGCCACACCAGCAGGTGATGAATATTTATTAAACAGTGACTGTGTGACAGTATGGTTTAGGCATCACATATGCTGCTGTCCTCTAATGATTGGCACAACTTTCATTGTCTTAATAGCCGCTTCTAACAGTTAAAACGGCACTCCATTTGCTTTTGAGAACAACTTTCTCACTTCTTCAGAGAAGCACCATCCCGTATTTAACCAGTAACAGAGCCTGTTTCTCTAAAACGTCAGTTATTTCTATTTAGTTTGCTGTGCACCTTGAAGCCTGCCTTCCT